TCATAATTTGAATTTTTGTACTTTTACAGAGTCGTTGACGTGATTTCAGTCATTTTTTTAGTCGATTCTGCAAGTCCCTATCAAACTCGAGAAATGGTGCTGGGTCCACACCATTTCGCGGGGATAATAAAGCCAAGAAATTCCAAAAATTAAAATTAGTGTCAAAATTAAAGTTTTTGAACTCTAATGCGTACCAGTGCGAAACTGAGGGGGAGAGCGTTCAGCTCAGGCAGTTTGCAATGGAATATTAAGTTTGGAGTCACGCCGAGAGATCTATACCGGTTTGGGTCTTTTTAGACCTCATCAGCAGATCACACTCGGCAGTGAACCCAACTTAACATGCCGCAAGAAACAGAGTTCAAAAATTTAATTTTGACTCTAATTTTAATTTTTGGAATTTCTTGGCTTTGTTTTCCCCGCGAAATGGTGTGGACCCACACTGAGAAAAAACTATGGCTTATAAACCTATTAGAGGTAAATATGGAACACCACTAATAGTAGTACCTCTACATATAATGATAGCACATATACCTTAGTTATGGTACGGGGTACCTTAATTAGGTACAGAGACCTTAGTATGGTTCACAGACCGAGAATCATTAGTTTATTTACGACTATTATAGGTGTTCCATATTTACCTCTAATAGGTTTATAAACCATAGTTTTTTCTCAGTGAGCACCATTTTTCCACCTTGTTACATAGAGTTCGGGCCACTTCTTAGTGTTTCATTTTTTCACTTATCAATAAATAGAGTAGCTTTTAAGAGGATATTCCGAGTTTTCTGACAAAAAATCCTGGTTTTAAACTTGGTTCATTTTTACAAAATGTCGGCAACAATGTTCATAAAAAACCCTTTCCTTGAGGAGGGCTGGGAAAGCTTTGCCTTGGTGCCTCGTAATGCACGCCAGTTACCCACGCATGTCCCTGTTCCACATGATGAGATCGACAGGGACTTCCCGAGTCATACTTTCTCGCTTACGAACTCGATTACGACACTTGGCTTTTTCGGATGAATTTTATTGAATTTGAATGAAGCTCCCGCGTTTTTTGCATCCCTCAAGGAGTGAAGTGCCCGAGCATGTGTTGCTTCGGGCTGCCAGATTGAGCTGATATCTTATTCGCTCCTCTGGTGTAAGAGTGTAACAACTCTGTTATAAACTCCATTGTTCATGAACGTGTACTTTCGCGGGCACTCGTGAAAATGGAGACACGCTCTTACGTCAGAGGATCAGTGATATTAATTGAGAAAAAAGGTGCGTACTGAGAGGAGTTAAAAGGATGCTTAGAGTGTTTTTTTTTGTCGGTTTTTTAATACATGGAGAGAAAAAAATCGTGCGTGGGACCCGAAGTTGAGGTCATATGGATCTCTGAAGTTTTCTGATCACACATCCGAAAACTTGAGGTCGAGCTGCCGAAGTTCGGTCAGACATTGAGGCACCTCGGTATGTTTCGGAGTACTTCAGATGTCTGACGCGAACTTCGGCAGCTGTACTTCAAGTTTTTAGATAGGTACGTGATCCGAAAACTTTAGAGATTCATATGACCTCAACTTCGGGTCCCACGCACGAAGTTTTTTTCTCCGTGTATCATTCAAAAAGGTGTTTTAAAATGTGGCAGCTATCACGTTGTCCCATATTGACACTAAGTGTCAATTAATGTCTTCTAAAAAAATACAGCTAATTTTTGCACGAATAAAAGAGAATGATTGAGAATAGTAAACAGTTTAGCTGTATATCGACAGTGAAACCAGACCACGTATATCGGTTTGCGACTTCGTAGACTTCCTGTCATACATTATTTTTTACATGAAGAACTACTCAAAGTCAATTCTTGTAAACTTCCGTGTTTATTTCTTCGCTGTGCGAAGAAAAATCTGTGAAAATTCAAAGAAATAATATTGATTCGTTCTTCCTCAAAAAAATGAAATGGGAGCGGGAGTTTTTAAACACCGCAAACGAGATATGTGGTCTGATAATTCCACCGTCGATATGCTCTCTCTACAATCGGTCGATCTACCGGTGGTTGTTTTTTGTTTCCAACAACTATCATTCATCTTTATTCGGTGTCATGAAGCAGATGAAATTGTTCCTCTCTCCAATTATTAGACAGGGAAATCGTTAAAATAAAATGAAAATATTGCAATCGCGTCTATAAAGAGACTTATTGCGTGACCACCACTGGGGACTCAAATCCGAACGACCGAATTTTATATAAAATCGGAATTTCCCCTATAGGACCAATAGGGAAACACGAAATTTCTCACCGAAATGCGCCAGACTGTCCCGGCAGTTGGCTCTTGCTCTGATGAAGGATGACGCCCCGCGGAGCTGTAAACCAGAGTTTCAAGTGCTCCCCACCCGCTTCCGCCAAAATTCCTGAGAGATTCGTAAAGTTTTCCTTACACACATTACAACCGCTTAGCGAGTTTTTGAAGTTGGCGGCGAGCAGTCCCGTCAGGTTTTTACGATTCACCTCAGAACTTGTCCGACTAGGCGCTCTTTAATTTTATCGAAATTCCGAACATGGTTTCGACCGGTTCCGAAACTTCTTTGAAACAATGAAACCTCGTTCCTGTGAGTAAACTCTTTAAAATTTCAATATGTGTTGCCTAGACGTTCTTGTTCTGTTGGTGTTTACTGCTAGAGTAGTTATAGAAGTCATTCTCGCACTCCTCCAGGAGACATTCAAAGATCTCAACTCCTCGCCGTTTAAGTCTTAGTAGAGAAAAATTAATTTGATTTCAAGAGTCAAGTGTTACAGCTCCAAAATTTGAAGTTTCCGCGTGCCGCCATGAAACTGGTGCAGGGTCTGCGTATTTTCCTTCTCAAGCAAGCCGTTTTTTCCCTCCTCGTATGAAACACAGTTTACATTGCTCTAATGAAGTCTTAAGTCACATCATGCTAGGAGCTCGTAGAAGCTATTTTGTCCTTGATGAACACTGCGAGTGAATATACCCGTACTTCTTGAAACCCCATTCCCACGGGAGACGAAAGCTAGTTTTCCTCCGCCGTCACGAGAGGTCACTGAGGAAAAACGCCGTATGTGCATACGAATGTTGCCAAGTTTCCTCTGATACAATATGAATTTTCCGGAACAATTATGGGTGTTTTCTGTTCAGATTTCCAGATATACTAGATTAAAGTGTAAAGTAAATTATCCATAACAATGGAGATGTTGCATGTGTGAGGAATTTGCGATTTGACTGTTGATTCTTATGTAAAAGTTTGCGAGAAATACGATGGTGCCATCGGTTTTCTCTGAAATCAACTCCCAAGCTCAAAAAAAGCTCTCAAGTTGAGACCGAAATGGAGGGGATATCCCACGCTATCCTGAGAGTCCACCTCTACATCAAGACAAACTCTCCATGCAAAGATAGGGAGCAAATACATTGACAGGCCTGCCACTTTATTTGGGGACTCCAAGACTGAAAACACGGCAACCCTTATGTCAATGTATTTGCTCCTTATCTTTGCATGGAGAGTTTGTCCTGATGTAGAGGTGGACTCTCAGAATAGCGTGGGATAGCCCCTCCATTTTGGCCTCAACTTGAGAGCTTTTTTTGAGCTTGGGAGTGGATTTCAGAGAAAACCAGTGGCACCATCGTGTTTCTCGCGAAATTTTACACAAGAATCAACACTCAAATCGCAAATTCCTCACACATGCAACATTTCCACTATGGGTATTTTCCGTTCAGATTTTCAGATATACCAGATTAAAGTCTATATACAGTAAATAATCCATAAAAATCGAAAGACACCTCGCGCTATTTTCTCGAAAATTTTGCACTAAATCGAAAGGAATTTGGCAGCCTTCGAATGCTCATCCGTCGTTTTTTTCTTAGCTTGGTCAAAAATCCGGAGACCCGGGGTCGCGACGAAAAAACCCTGGAGTCCGACACGGGAGCGGGGCTCATCAATGAGATAGAGAAAGGGATACTGACAAGTTTATACACTGGGGAGAAAAACGACGGGACGAGTCGCGGGGGAGGGGGGCAAGGGAGGGAGGGGGTGGGGCCTCGGTCGCGCTCGAGAAACACATTACCGCTCCTAAAAAGAAAGTAAATTATTCAAATGGGCGAGAAGGAGAAAATTGGCATCACGATTTTTTATCGGAAACAAAGGCTCCGAGGGCCCACAACGGAGTGGTCCGGATTTAAATGGTGTGTCATCGGTTTCACCCCCCCCCTCTCACCCCTTTTCTACCATTCGCCCCGTTTCCCGTTCCTAATCACCGCGCGCGGCGCGCATCGGGTGGGAACGACGTTGCCGCCGCGGAGTTTTCCAGTGGTGACGTCACCATGAATTACTCCGATCTGACGTCATAAGATTATGTTGACCGCCTTCTCATAAACGCGCGATACAATGGTGGTTCATCTGAAGAAGCATATCCACCAAAGCAGAATGAAATCAGATGAATGGTTAAAGATTTCGCTCAATGGCGAGGCGCGAATGATCGATTATCGATATTTCACCATTTGAAGTTGTGGTAAAGAATCGATTATTAGGTGTTCGTTGCGAGTACCCTGTTTTTCGATACTTTTCCGTAGATGTAAACGTCAGATCAATCGATATATCGCAAAGCGCGCCACGCCACTGCTGTCTCTCTCTGAGGATCTGTCAAATTTCGACTACCTAGATCAGTTGTATTTTGTGACAGATTTGTGCGTATATAATCCAGATCTTTATTTCGGGCTCAGAGTCATGAGAAAAGCCGGTTACAAAAATGTATACCTGCATCAGCCACAAAATTGTATTTTAATTCTTGGATCAGTTGGATACCTGATGGCAAAAAGTAATGGATTGGGTTCCATCCCACGAGTCACTGTTTAATTTCGCAGAAAAATTTGATGATTGACGTGATCTACGGAGGTAATATGTATAGTGCAAACTTGTGTACATTCACATTTACATTTATATCATTGATAAGTAAATAAAAAAAAAGCATTTAAAAAAACTGTAATTATAAATTGTTAATTACATGTCATTTTTCTGTGTTTCAGGCCGTGTCAAATATGCAGTTATTCTCGACAAAAACGGAGACAAACTTCAAAACCGGACGCTTCATCAGTGTTGAATCAAATTTGCTCCGAAAACAGATTTTCAGGACTTCTGATGCACGAACCGATGAAGTCTAAACATCTGGATGGTCGTTCATGACCTTAAGTGTCTTGCATCATCTAACAAAAGCGAAGGATTCAGTTTCTTCTCCCAAGTAAAGCACTCCTTTCGAAAATTTATGAAAAATAAATTCATCCTTCAAGTTCTCTTCTAGCCGAATGAATCAGGGTGCAATCAACAGAACTAGTACACGGAAAATTTATTAATGCAACTTTAAATCATGCTCAATATTAGTGATTATTGGTTTTAACCAGTTTTCACCGGTGACTGTCATCTCGAGCACACTTAATAGTATGTGAAATTAAATCAGGAATACTATCCTGAAATTCAGTGCGAGAAAAATTTTGCCACAGGAGACGATGGTGAGTTCAAGTCAACAAATTAGCTTGAACAAATATTAGCCTCGCCTGTGGCCTTTCGATTCCACACAAGCATTTTCCTCGAAGCTTTTATCCCTCGAATGAAAATGAGTGATTTTTCCCACTGCGCAGATAACTGAAGCGCGCTGTGGAAAACCTCTAATTTCCAGGCCTGCGGATGAGTTTTAAGAATGGCCTGACAATTAATACCTAAGTGAAAATCCACGCTCTTGCGGGAGATACAGCGAAAGCGTAGAACGGCGGCGCGAAGCATGTATTTTATTATTCATGGCATGTCTCAATGGAAGATATTATTTCTGGAAAATGTCATGAAAAATATGGAATTCAATTAGCTCCCTCTATATACTTTGGGAAAGTAAATTTTTCCGCAGGAAAATGTCTCGTCCGCTACTTGCCTCGTGAGAAGAACAAACTACGATGAGAGTCCATTTTAAAATGCGGAGCTGCACGATTTTTTACGGGTTGCTACCAATGCTATCGTGGACTTTTTCTTTAAAGAGCACTCGTTCTTATCCCGGGATGAATTTAGATTTCACTCACTAATTTTTCATACGTTCTTACGAATAATAAGTTCGTTTAGGCTTTTCTTTAGGAATTCAGTGTTCGAAGCGTTAACGTTTTTCTCGTAAGTTCTTCAACAGTTATCAATACGGCCTTTCGCGTTACAATATACTCCCACCGATTCTTGACGTGAAGGGTTATTTTTAGAACAAAGTAAACCGAATATCAGAGAATCTAGTTAAAGTGGGTATTTTCTTATTCGTACCGTCGGTTTGTAACACTTGTGCGGTTAAATTTTCCGGGATCGATAGCTTTTGTCCAGTTCCAGAGTCGGAGGATTACAAGTAGTTGAAGGAAAGCATATCTAAGTGTTCTACAAAGAAGTAGCGCCTACTTTTGCATTGCTCTACGATTGAGAAAAGTCTTCTTTAACATCGCTCTACGGGTCTGCGAGTTGCTCAACGGGCGATAAGCTTCTCTTTTGAGTGGTCTACGCATATCAAGAGCCTGCTCTTGCACTTTTCTACGAAACGAGTAGAATAATCGAGTTGTTGAACAGACAGTAGACTACTCTCGAGTTGTTGAACAGACAGTAAACTACTCCCGAGTAGCTGAACAGACAGTAGACTACTCTCGAGTTGTTGAACAGACAGTAGGCTACTCTCGAGTTGTTCTACGCGCAAGTAGAGCCTTTCTGGAGCTTCGAGCAGACGATGGATGGTCTGGCCTTCTACAACTCGAGCAGCTATGAGGACCCATTCGACACTCAGAACGAGACGCTGGAGCAACTGTTGAACCGGCTTCGGGGGCCGAAACACCTCCCGTTGGAGATCGTCCTGCCGATAACTATCGTCTACGTTTCCATTTTCTTGACCGGGGTTGCCGGGAACCTCGCCGTCTGCCTGGTCATCGTCCGCAACTCTTCCATGCACACGGCCACCAACTACTACCTCTTCAACCTGGCTGTCTCCGATCTAACCCTCCTCCTCTTAGGTAAGTTATCACTTTTGGCTTTTATCGTGTTGAATGTAAAAACTCTTCGATTCCAACAATTGAAAACACAGGAAAAAGCGGAAACAAGGCTAAAATACAAAAAATAAAGGCAGGATGTTTCGGTACCTTACGGCACCATTATCAACTGCAAAAAGAATTAAAAATAAAAAAGAAATTAAAATAAAAATCAGCACACGGCGTTACATCGTAAAATTGGTAAATGAGACACACTACGAAGAAATGTACGACTTCCTACTCGAAGAAATGTAACTCCATTCCTGAGTTGCACAGTAGAATTACATCCATATGTCGTCGCTCCTCTGACGTAAGAGCGTATTGCTATTACTACGTGAACCTTGGGAAACGAAGAGTTACTTGGGAAACAGGGCTCACGTGAAAATTAAGATACGCCCTTACGTCCGAGGGGCGACGACGTGGCAGGCAATTATCCCCACGAGCGCATCAAAATGAGCTCGCTCATATCGTAGTCCAGTCAATCTAGCATTTTTCTGGGAAAATCTATATATAGAAGGTTTTTTTGCGGAAACATGTTGCATTAGGCTACCAGAACAACATATCAAAAGTTTACCAAAATCGGCCGTCCGCTAAGGCCGCCATCTTGAAAAAAGGGGGGGCGGGGGGCCAAAATACGCCGCCGGCGACCGGTTTTTAGCTTATATCTTGAAAAATATCGATCCCACGGAAAAATGTCACTGAACCTTTTAAAAAGATCATAAAATTTCCTATTAGAAACACTATACATTTATCAAATTGCGACTTCTGGTTCGTGAGATATGACGGTAGTTTCCTGCGGCTAGGAATGTCAAATCTTGCGAGAAATCGCGTTTTTTCAAAAAAATCTGTTATTATCTTAAAAACGGCGAGTCTGAGGCAAAAAAGTGTTCTCACCGGAATGAAAGAGCATAAAATTTCCATGATTCACTAGGGGGTCCGCCCCCGGAGCGCTATGCGGTCCGAACCAACGGCGGCTACTATGCGGTGAGGCTCGGCTTGGCCGCGCCATGAATTGTTGCGGTCCAAGATGAAACGGCCTCACTTTTTTGGTAGATTTACGGCGAGGGTAAGTCATATTATCCATTTAAATATGTGCTAATTTCCTTTTATTATGAACCCCCCCCCTCCCCCTTTAGGTCATGCGTGTTGTATAGTTAATACATGTCAACGGTCGCGATTCAAGATAATGTTATTATTTTATGCTTTCTGATTCAAACACAATTTGTCAAACGACAAATCTTCTTTTTTCAAAGTAACTAAAAGGTAATGAATTAATACAAAATATAGAAAGAGGGATTTTAAATTCATCCTCTGCTTCCTCTTCGATCAGTGTTTCTGTTTGATTGCTGCATCCCAAGCCGGAACAATGTAGACAAATGTCACTGCGTGGTAGACCAGCTCTCTTACAAGAGTAGCAGTTACTACAGCCTTTCGAACATGTACATGAGATGATTTGTAAAAGTTCTTGGGGGGGGGGCGGATTGAGCATAGGCACAAGGAGAAGCCTGAGTTTCGAAAATTTCCGCCTCCATTCCTTGGGATTCCGTTTTCTTCCTCTCCAGAGTTGAACTTGATAATATACACGTAAGAAAAGTTGTTTGCACGCATCTGAAGTTGGAGGCAACGTTTGCAGTTTCACCTCAGTTTTTTGCCTTGCCAAGCACGATTAAAACATTGAAATCTGCATTTGTTCAAAGCAGTAACTGATTTTTCAGCACCATACAGCAAAAGAACAAGTTGCTCACCCGCTTGAAAAAGCTCATCTTGAGTGCAGTCGGTTTCATCAAATTTCTCAGCAATACAAGAGACTTCGCCACATTTTTCTAACAGTTTAATAAATTTGCCTTTGCCCTTGCCACGAAATGCTGAAGTGGTATCACATCCACTGACGGCATGGATAAACAGAATGCTGTTCTTCAAATTTACATTCGATGTTCGCCATTGATTTGAGCTAAAAATTTGGGCTGCATATTTGCCCTTACCTATGGTTTGAGTAATAGGACGTCGCTTGATGCAGGCGTCAAAGCTATCATTAGAACAAGGAGGTCGATGTCTTCACCAACGATTAGAGTACCCATATTGAGAGAGTATGACCACTGGTGTTACCACCTCTGATTGGCTCAGCCATCTTAGGCTGAATGGAGCCCTTAGGACCCAAAAATGGCGGACGCCATAAATTAATGTGATGCAAAATGACTCAAAATGTAGTTTTCTTTGCCTATCGTAACGAGAAATTAACCCAAATGCACTATTGCGATTCTTTACATATTTTTAAGGCTAATCGTGTGCAATTTTTGAGAAAAATTATCTTAGATGTAGTAAGGTTGGCGAAAACCGTCAAAAGTTGGCAATGACCCCCCTCCCATCCACAAAAACCAAAACAAAGCACCGCCATTTTTGGGTCCTAGGTCTCTCCATGGGGTCCAGTGACCATACTCTCTCAATATAGGTACTCTACCAACGATAACAACTTGTTTCTTCGTTCCTCTCGGCAGACTGATAGCTTCACTTACGATGAGAGTATCCGCATCGTCCTCTGCTTGAGATACTTTAACTCGACTCCCTGTAGTAAAGTGGTTCGATAGCAAGCAAATCAAACGCGCCTCGTTCTTTTCATTATAGATTGAAGCAGTCCTGCGGGCCACGGATAGAGGAGTGTCCTCAGAAAAAATTAAGGCAGGAAATTTCTTAAAGCTATAACATCGTCACCTTTCAACGCTTTTTGTAGAATCTGTTGCGCTTTTTGTTCGTATCCATCAAAAACAATTGAACCTTCAAGACCATCATGCTTTTCAACATATAGGTATTAATAAACGATTCCACCGCTTAAGGTAATAAACGAAGAAATGCTTGTCTTATTCCTATTTCTATATTTTATATTAATTCATTACCTTTTAGTTACTTTGAAAAAAGAAGATTTGTCGTTTGACAAATTGTATTTGAATCAGAAAGCATAAAATAATAACATTATCTTGAAGCGCGACCGTTGACATGTATTAACTATACAACACGCATGACCTAAAGGGGGAGGGGGGGGGGTTCATAATAAAAGGAAATTAGCACATATTTAAATGGATAATATGACTTACCCTCGCCGTAAATCTACCAAAAAAGTGAAGCCGTTTCATCTTGGACCGCAACAATTCATGGCGCGGCCAAGCCGAGCCTCACCGCATAGTAGCCGCCGTTGGTTCGGACCGCATAGCGCCCCGGGGGCGGACCCCCTAGTGAATTCATACTCATTTTTAGCATGGAAATTTTATGCTCTTTCATTCCGGTGAGAACACTTTTTTGCCTCAGACTCGCCGTTTTTAAGATAATAACAGATTTTTTTGAAAAAACGCGATTTCTCGCAAGATTTGACTTTCCTAGCCGCAGGAAACTACCGTCATATCTCACGAACCAGAAGTCGCAGTTTGATGAATGTATAGTGTTTCTAATAGGAAATTTTATGATCTTTTTAAAAGGTTCAGTGACATTTTTCCGTGGGATCGATATTTTTCAAGATATAAGCTAAAAACCGGTCGCCGGCGGCGTATTTTGGCCCCTCGCCCCCCCTTTTTTCAAGATGGCGGCCTTAGCGGACGGCCGATTTTGGTAAACTTTTGATATGTTGTTCTGGTAGCCTAATGCAACATGTTTCCGCAAAAAAACCTTCTATATATGGATTTTCCCAGATGACCCTTATTTAGAGCTAAATTGACTGGACTATCGTGTCGCTTCGGATTCCGAATCCTGATCCCCCAGCAGTTGCAAATGCAATTTGTTACTCATTTGCAATTGCTGGGGGATCATGATTTGGAATCTGAAGCGATACGATATGAGCGAGGTCATTTTGATACACTCGTGGGGATTATAGACACATCCCAAAAAAAAAAAAAAATATTCTTACACTCATTGTAAAAGCAACATTCCTGTTTTCTCAGTCGAGGGGAAAAAAGGGAGAGAAGAAAAATTTCTTATACTTCTCTTCATCTCCTTCTTTTCGGTCTGTTTTCCTCCTCCTTTTCTTTAGCTCTTCTCCTCCTCTCCCAATTTGGAAGTCGACCACCAAGTTCCCTCCCAAATCGGAAGTCAACTCGGGAGACTAGGTCCTAGAAGACTCGAGTACATCAAACTAGGGTTAATACGTGTCACACACCAGTTTTTCCGGCGTGGGAATTTGGGATTCCGGTTCAGTTTCTTATTATTTTTAGCCAAACTACGAGAATCAAGCATCAAAACACAATTATGTGACCAGCACAACTAACCCATTATTGTAAAAGCAACAATCCTGTTTTCTCAGTCGACGGAAATCGAGGGAGAGAAGAAAAATTTCTTGTACTCCTCGTTATCTCCTTTTTTTTGTCTGTTTTCTTCCTCCTTTTCATCATCTCTTCTCCTCCTTTCTCTCCAAATTTGGAAGCCGTTTCCTCCCAAATCGGAAGTCGACTCGGGAGACTAGGCCCCACAAGACTCGAGTATATCAAACTAGGGTTAATACGTGTCACACACCAGTTTTTCCGGCGCGGGAATCTCGGATTCCGGTTCGGTTTCGGGGAGTTCGGAAACCGCGGCGGAGATATTAGCGCTCCGCTCCGTCGTCGCTGATTTAAACGCGAGATAAAACCGCGAGCGAAGGGGAAACCCCGACCCCGCATCGGGTTGATACCGCCGTCCCATTTTTTTCGTGAGCTTCCCGGGGCGGGAGGTCATTTGATTTGGTTAAAAAGGGTCCTGCGGGGCGGAGGGGTGGAGCGATAGTCGGGGTTAAAAGTATCTAGGGGCGGTTAGGATCGGGCGCGGGGCTCCGCGCTCCGGGCTTGTCGGTGCGAAATCATTTAGCTGTCATCTGTTTTGATTGATTCCCTCGAGAATCTTAAAAGAGCGACGCCAAGTTGCCGAATCTAAGGAGACCTCGGAAATACTGAAAATTCCTGAAAATAAACTTACTGTTTTTGTGATATTTAATCCTAAGTAGTGAGACAATTTGGCGGTTTACTGAG